TGAGGCCAGAGTATCGTAACAAGATTGATCTCAAATACAAGAAGAAGATAGAGGCCATGGTCCGGTAAGAAGCACAAGAGAAATGTACTAATAATGAATTGCACCCATTAAAGAGATCACCCAGAAATGAGAATTACTCGCCCTCACGTTGTTCCAAACCCATAAGATTTTTGTTCATCTTCAGAATACAAATAAAGATGGAATCTGAGAGCTTTCTGTTTTTTTCTGTACTTTGGATGGTTGGTAAACAACCATACAAAATACAGTGTACAAAACTGTTTATTGAATTCACTCCGCAATTTCTCTTTACCCTTTTCTTTTTTGTTTTACTATAATAATACAGAAAAAAAATCTAATTTTCATTCAGTTTCTTTTCAATCATTCGGTCCATCTATGAACTAGTTAATCTGTCTTTTACAAGTAGAAAAGAAGTTTGCATTTTATTAGTGTTTCCTTCCTGATTTTTTTTTCTTTAATCTGTTGTATGTGAGGGTTCACTTCTAAACTACTGTAATGTATGAAATATCCTCCTGTTCACTGACCTTTTTTCTGTCTTCCATCAGTCGTCCAGATACTTCTGAGGTGGAGGAGGAGAGCTCACCCTGTCCCTACTGCAGCTTCAGCCTGCCTGACTGTGAGCTGCTCTGTCCCGGCTGCAAAAACAGTCTTCCCTACTGTATCGCCACAGTGAGTACAGGCAACTTAATCTAATGAGTCACTGCACTGACAGCTCTTGCCACCTACAGCTTCAGTTCCACAGTACAGACGTCACAGCAGCCTCTTCCTCTGGCTGAAAAACAGACCCAATTTTAACTCCCTCTTTATGTGCAATATTTCATTAATGACTCGTCTGTGACTGTAATGAAGGAAATGACGATAAACTTGACTTGACCTTTAAGTTTGTAAATGCAGACACGCACAGTTCCACAGCCTGTCTGATAGATGTGCGTGTCATCATTTTCAGGGTCGTCACTTGGTCAAGGAAGATTGGAGTGTCTGCCCACAGTGTGATTTCCCTGCTCTCTACTCGCAATTCACCCAGTAAGTCTCATCCATCCATGGTTCATCTATCCATCCATCCATCTAGTCACTGATACATCCATTGATTTTCTGTATTTGTATGTGTTTTGTTTCAGGCTCTTAGAGACAGAGTCAGTTTGCCCCATGTGTTCTGAGACTTTAAATGTCAGTGATGTGAAAAAGGTTTCAGACTGCTCTAAATATCTGCAGCAGGACCAACTGGAGCGCTGAGATCGAGAGAGAAAGAAAGATGAAAGGGTAATAAGAGAAAAAGTATCTCTTACTGTTTTTACTCATACAAGGGGGTAACGTCTGAAACTAAGGAAAAGGCTTCTTTTTTGCTGATATAGTTCAATAAAAAATTATAAAATTAAATATATATATTATGCAATAGCATAAAATGTTAGTGCTAATTGATTTTTTTTTTACATGGAACCTATTGTGAACATTTAAAGTTTTATTTTAAATCGAAAGTTTACTTTACACACGCATACACACTCACACAAATAAAGATTATTTTATTTACATCATGTAATTCTGAACCTGTATGACTTTGTTTCTTTTGTGGAACATTACAAAACTTATATTGAAGAACATTGGTAAACAAACAGCTTTGGGTCTCATTGACTTCCAAAAACACTGAGATCTTTTATGTTCCACAGAAAAAAGAAACCCTTTTTCATTTTGGGGTGAACTACCCCTTTAAGTATTTCTTGTTTGTTTTATATCATTTTAACGGTTCTTAGATTTAGTTTTCTAGGTTTGTGTTTATTTCGATTATATATACTGTTACAGCACACTTTCCAAAAGATATAGAAATGTCAAAAACTACATCTTCTAGCAATTATTTTGGTCTGATGAAATAACATTTTTTGATGAAAATGTGTCCTTGATATTTAATTGTATTAACATTATATTTATATTTATTGTTTCCTTTATTTTTACAAAATAGACAAATAGGAAATATTACAATTTACACACATTTTTTTAAAATATATAAACAGCTAAAATGGATTAATTTGAAAGCATCTAAAGTGCCCCTTATGTTTTCTGTTTTCAGATACAGAGAATTGATGTTCTCAAATTTGCTGACAGTCACACCTCTGATGATGTGTGATGGTCAGTCTTTACAGAATCAATATTGTGGGATCACTATTGTAATTTCAAGCCAGTCATGATTGCATTTTTCTGATATTGTTTAAAATATAAAAATGGTTATTGGTAATAAACATTTTATGATTTATTTACCAATAATATTTATTTACCAATATTGTAGCAATTTGCAATCATGGTATATTTATCTTAAAATACAAGAGAAAAAAGAATATATGTATATCTGTATAGTGACTAAAATGTACTTCTACAGTGTTTTAAAGGTAAAGTGCATACTTTCATCTGCCACTGGCTGTACAAACGGGTAGTCCCGCCCCAAACTCATTCCATTGGCTAAGTTGCTGTTGCTATGTTGGGCCTTTTTTAAACATTTAAAGTAATGTTGAAAGTACCACAAAGCCTCTGCATTCTTACTTTTTGGGGAAATCAGGCTATGAATGTTATCTTTGCATATTAAACTTGTATAGGAGAAAACTGCACATCATCTTTAATCTGAGTGTTTTGTACTGCTGTTTTGTAGCCTGACCACAAGAGTTCAGCACTGCAGTGTGAGCTAATAAAAGGAGAAAGACAGTTAATCTAACCACCCAAGTGCTGACATTTATTATGAGCTGGACTTTCCATTTACCTTACATGTGGCCTTAAATTTATTAGTGCACATAGATTTAAAGTCAACAACTCTTTCTTTTAAAGTTGAGCTTTAATGCCAATTTGGGCCAATAGTTCTGCATTTTGCATGAGCTTTATCTTTACTGACCTAAAAGAAATGTGATTCTAATTATTAGAGCACGTGAGGCCTGATTTATTTGCATTTTGTGGTGTGTCTGTGCTCTATATGCTTTAAAGAGATTGGTGTATGTTCTTTAAAGTGATAGTTCCCAAAAATGAAAATTTACTCACCCTGATGCCATTCAAAAACCTGTATGGCTTTGTTTCTTTTGCGGAACAAAAATATATTGTGAAAAATGTTGGTTACCCTAGTTTTTGGTGACATTTGTAACAACATGAGGCTGATTAAATGATGGCAGAATTTAAATTTTTGGGTGAACTATCCCTTTAATAGGCATTTTTGGAATATCTTAGGTGTTCCCTTTTTTGTGTGACAGAGTGACACATTTTTATGAAGATATTTTGAGTATTTCAATTAAAAGAAAAAAAAATAGGTCAGCGCTCTTATTATACAAAGTACTGTACATAATGAGGATTTAAAAAAATACCCTTGCTCTGTCTTTGGACATGGTGTTCAATCAGTGAACTCAATTCTTTGCTTATTGTGGTCAAAAAATGACCCGAGCTCAGGATGAGTTGTGTTCTTGTCAGCCCCAGCCAGATGGTGTGGGTGTGTGTTATATGCACTGTATATGTGTAGAACGCATGAAAGCATGAAGCCATATTTAGCATAGCATCTGTCTTGTTTTGTAGTATCAGAGCAGTTATGTACTATATGTCCTTTAATGATCACTTTATAAGAATAATAGTCACTCACTCTAATTGTATTACACAATATTCACCTGTGAAACTACACTGTAAAAAAAATAATAGTAATTTTAATGGTAAAAGTCACGGTAAAAATGCTACAGTACAAAACTGTTAATTGGTTAACAGAAAGTTTCTGTACTATATACGGTAAATAAATGTGATATAATTTTACTGTAAAATACCGTTAGATTTACAGTTTTTGAAAGTGAAAAAGAACAACTCCTTGTATAATTTACAGTGAAAAAAACGTAAATTGACATTCCCACAATTCCCTGTGTCACACTTCACATTTGATGTATTTTTGTTGAAATAACCGTTTCCTCATAATTTTCTTGTTTTTTTTCTAATCAGTTATGTACATTAGGGTTTTATGTTTCATTTAGTTTTGTTCAATTAATGTTTATTGCATTTTTTTTTAATTTCACGTGTGTTACCATGATGATGTTTAATGTTTGTGTGAATGACACTGTGCAGCTTCTTTATATAAATAGTAAATTTCTGATGAGCTTTGATCACTACTGTGATGATTAATGGTTGTCAGTGTATTACAATGGTACAAAACAGAAATCAATTATTCAAAAGGTTGGTATATCAACATATTACAAAAAATGAAATACAGTTTATTACTGTAAAGGTGATTACAGTTTTAATGTATTTTTTATAGAATTGTTCTGGCAACCAAAGTTGCCAGCATTGATCCGTAATTTTTTTTTTTTTACAGTGTACCACATCTGACAAGCTTGTGTGTGTGTGTGTGTGATAGAGGATTAAGAGCTGATGTTTTACAGCATCTGAAATGCTGAGGTAAGTTAGTAATTTGTAAAGACCGTCATGAAGCTGTCCAGTGAGTGAGTGTGTTTGTGTGTGCGAGCACAATGAGAGAGTCTGTGTGTGTCTCCTCTGCAGCATGCTGGCGTTGTGCCACGCTGTGAGCAGAATGGCTTCACAAATTCAGAAACACAGTTGTAGTGTTTTATTTCCCAGTTGCACTGCATTTCTTTGCTGTGTGTTATATGTTGTTACTTCATGTATGTGTACATACATGCAGAGAGAAAGAAAGAAAATATAAAATATATAACTATATATGGTATAATGAGCAAATGTAATTCATCTTATTCTCTCTCTCTGTATGTGTATAATAAAACACATTAAATACTTATACATACATTACTATATGAGCTATATGATATTATTTATACATATATTAATTATAATTGTTAATACATAATTATGTATACATACACAAATATAATTCATCATGTTCTAATATTGTATAAGTATCTCTCTCATTGCTCATTCTCTCTCATTATTCTCACGTGGGATCGTTTGTCTTTCATGCCACTTTCTCTCTCACTCTCTCTCTCTCTCACACACAGAGAGCTCATCCCATGCCCTCGTTTATCTCTGTGGGCTCAGTGTAAATCTGTTAAGAGAGAGGGGCCGTGATTTAATGTGACACAAAGGACAAGTCGAGGTGAGGCAGAGCTGTTCACAAAACCACCAACATCTCGTGAAGTCGTTCTTGCTTTACTATCAGTGTGCTGTGCTTTCACCGTTATTTCGTTGAATGTGCGTGTACGTTTAACAGCTTAAACGATACCTCTCTTGCTTTTACATAACACATGTACCTTATTGTTTCAAATTCTCTTGATGGTATTGTAGCTCGGTAGATTTCGTAACTTAAATCCAGGAGGAGAAAGTGACGCCGGTGCGGGACAGCGCCTGCTTCATCACGCGAGAGCACAGCAGCCTCACTGCAGCGGCGGGACAGGTGCATGCACGCGCAATCAATAACACACACCGAAGTAACTGAGCCTGGAGTGTGGATATACATACTGTACAATGACAGACGTGTGTTCGCTGGAACTGTGTTTGAGAGGGGGGCACTAATATCATCGGTGTTTTCTTCCTGAGGTGAGGCTATGTGGCTTTATACTGTCATTATGTTCTCACTGTCACGCGCTTCAACATGATTTCGCAAGTTTCAGTGAGACTTATTACGGGTGTCTTTATATTTAGTGTAAGTCTGCACTGAGGGGTCTTAAGAGTGTTTAACGGTGTAATGAGTGTTTTCTGGTGTTCCCACTGCGGATCTCTAGTGCTGGATTCCCGGGTGTTTTTCACTTCGCCACTGGAGCGAGAGCTTTTATTATAGCTAGTTTAATTAATCTGTACATGATTCTCAAGGTCTGATCAAAGCGCGAGGAAGGATCAAGCTGTTCCAGGGGTTTTTGTATTGCTCAAGAATGACATTTCTTATACACAACTAAACCAAACATTTGTATATAGGCCTATAATTATAAACATGTATGTATAGTTCAAAATCATTTTTGTGGATTCTGTTCTCCAAACTAAAATTCAGATATCATATGTTTTGCCATTGTAGCATTTGCAAAATGGGTTTTAAGCGAAATGTTGAACTGAAGTGTTCTCTCAGGACAATATTTCATAAATATGTCAGGGAATGATGACACTACTTATCATTTTTGCTCATTGTTTTAAGTGTTCATGTAGGCTATTGGACATTCCATTTGCAGTTGTGCATTTTTATAAATTAATTTCTTTCATAATTGTTTTACTGTATTATATTTAATCAATTTGTTTAGCTGAAAGGCCTATAATAGTCAACATAATGTTTCATTGTGACAACCTAGTCCTGGACCATAAAAACGAAGACAGCATGCCCCCAGCTGAACGTGTGTTCGGTGAACTGTTAGCTAGCCTTGGCCAGGCCTCCCATATAAAAATAAGTGACTGTATTTATATTTGGTTGAAGTGTAATAGAATATAATCAGTGAAAATTCTAAATTTGAATTGTCCCTGACTTTATTCTCAAACCTTTTCTATTCAAATGCAATGTTAAAATTTCATCTTTAAAAACAGTGCCCTGATTTTACATCACATATAGGTCTAATGCATGAAATTATTATTTGGTTAAATCATGCTTAATATATTATAGACTATATATATTATATACTATAAATATATTATAAAATATTATATTGCATACTTGGCAATATACCATATTTTAATATACTTAGCCTATTCCTACAAGCTACAATTTGTAACTTTCTCATCTCTGCTCTGATGATATGTATACTGGCGTAAGGTCGAGACAAGCTGTCACTCAAAAACCACTATCCAATCAATTGTTTTTTTTCTTATTTGAGAAGCTGTTTCACTTGAATGTACAATATGGAAAAAAGACTATCCAACTTCCATGACGACTTTGTTACTGGGTTGGCCCTAAAGAGTTTTTGAAAGGGAAATTGCATGTATCTAATTTACATTGTTATCTATACAGCAGTAACTTGTTCAAGTGAAATGATTAAAGAATTACTGTTTTGTTTTGCGGCATTATAGTAAATGCCATCTTTAAATTAACCCCACAGTTACATTCAAGCGTTTTGCCATTGTATTTTTGCTAACTAAGGTCTCTGTGTGTTGCAGGTGTGCAGTCATGGTTCTTAAAGGGTTGATCGTGTTGATGCTGTTGCTTCAGTTCTCTGCAGAAAGCACAGCAGACGGAGTCAAACCCAAGAAAGGGAAAAAGGGCAAACAAGTCATCTGTCCCTCGTATGTCTCACTGGCAGAAACCACACACTCTCATGCATGCATATGTGTGCTGATCCCATAATCATTTAAGGTTGCCTTGTATGCTAGGATGCCAGTCATGAAGAATTACAGTGCTGTTAAGCAGAGTGAAAGACTGGCAATGCATTTTGGAGCCTGCCAGACTGGATGTTTCTGTTAGTAATAGTACTGGTCCAGGAACAGCTGTGTCCTTATCACCACTCTCTATGACATACATACTAACAGATCCAGATAAATTGGCCTCAGGCCATTGGCAGGGCCAGTTGTCCATTTCTGTATGACTAAGCATGACTAATTGTCTCTGCTTTTTACTGTATTTTCTGATAACAGACATTATTCCAGAGGAATGATGTATTAAATAGTGAATATTTCTTGAATCTGAGAGGACTGGGATTTCTTTTTGTCATGGCAAGTTACATCCTAGTATGACTGATAAGTGATGCACTGCCAGTATAATGTGCATGTGTCTGTTTTGACATTGCCAGTCAGTTATCAGCAGAGGACTTGGACAGAGTCGACGGAAACTCGACCAGCAACATACTGAACCGCCTGCTGATGACCTATGATTCACGAATACGACCAAACTTCAAAGGTACTGAGATACCAGAATACTACCTTGAAATACTTTCTCATAAAAATGTTTTATTTCATATGAATCTTTGCCATAGTGAAGCAATAACCAAAAGGACTCCCAAACATTTACAGATGAAAAATAAAAAATGCAACTGAAAAATATTGTTAACCCATTACAATAAAGGGGTGGTAAAATGGCATTTTCACAAATGTCAAATAAATATCTAATGTCCTCAGAGTGTGTGTGTGTGTGTGTGTGTGTGTGTGTGTGTGTGTGTGTGTGTGTGTGTGTGTGTGTGTGTGTGTGTGTGTGTGTGTGTGTGTGTGTGTGTGTGTGTGTGTGTGTGTGTGTGTGTGTGTGTGTGTGTGTGTGTGTGTGTGTGTGTGTGAAGTTTTAGCACAAAATACCCCACCAATATTTATATATAGCATGTTAAAGTTGTCCCTTTTTGAGGGTTTGCAAAAACGCACCGTTTTGTGCCTGGCCCTTTAAATCCCTTCGCTTCCATTATGAGCACGCACACCGCGCGCCTACATTTGAAATAACGAACTTGAGTGGGCAAAAGATGCGATATGTGATCAGGCCCTTATACAACCACTTTTCCTCTTCTCAACATGGACTGCGTGTTCCCGGGGGCGGAGTTTATGTACATTTTGGGGTTGCTGATGTCACTAACCCTAGAGGAATGTCGTGTAGTCCCTACCAGCCATTTGTTGTAGTCCTTTTCTTTAAAAGCAAATATCTTCCTTTGCTTTGAACTTTGAGCGTTGTAACTTTGATACTGTTGTTTATGCTCAAACAGCAACATTACACGCTAACTAAAGTTAGAAAAGTGAAATCATACTTTACCACCCCTTTAAGGTTTAGTCAGTAAGAATGTCTAATGACTACTATACATATGAAATAAAAATAAACCTCAGTTAATTCAGTTGGTTTGAACTAACAATGACCATTCGTGTAATGTCTTTATTAATATACTATAGGTTAATATTACTTTCTACATACACAAATATATTTTATCTAATATATAAATATTAAATATTATTACATTAAAATTTTAATATATTATGAATGTACATACATTAACAATAAGTTGTAAGTATATTTATGAATCAACCTAGCTGATAAATACTGTAAAAAAAGTTTTTTATGATAACTAATGTGTTATCTTATGTTAATGAATTGAACTTGAACTTGAATGTAAGCACTTTATTCTATACAGATTGTTTCAAAGCAGTTACATTGATAAACAGCAAAATAATGATTCAATGATGCAAACTAAATGTAATTCTTCTGTAAAGAAGCTCTAAAAAACATAATAGTTAACTGTCATTATTCAGTGAAATCAGTTCAGCGTTTAAAGTGCTACCAAAAATATTTTTTTCTTTAATAATAAAAATAATAATATATATTTTTTTTAATATTCAGTTTTACTCTGAAATGTGTCAGATTACAAAAGTAAAATTGGTTGCATATGACAGTCTTTTAGGTTCAGATCAGTGGTCTTTGATTTTATTGTAGTATTTTAGTGAAGCTTTTTTTTGTTTGTTTTCCTGTCATAGCCTGATTACCAAACCTCTCAGACCTCTAGCATGTTCATAAAACAACTATAAAATTCAGTACTTGCATTTTTTTTTTCTCTTGGAAAGTCACAAATAGCATAATGGATGACCTCATTGGAATGATAATTTAATCACAGTGTCAGAAAATGGCAAGAGTGTGTATTGTATAGAGTAATATGAAATTCTCCTCCATGGTGCTGCTGAGCATCACTAGACCCTGTGGGATTAGAATGTGTCGCTCTGAACCCAGTAGAAAAAGAATATGTCAGAACGAAACTGTTAGATCAATGGGCTTCTGCTACGGTTCCAAGTTCTTGCTTCCAACGAAGCGCAGAATATTCTCACATATGAGAGTATTTGTATTGCACTTTGGGGAATCTGAAAATAGCACACAGCTTTTATCCTACACACATGGTTGATGTCCATGATTATATTCCTATGGAAGAGTTCTCGTGTGTTTGCAGGTATCCCAGTGGAGGATAAGGTGAACATCTTCATCAACAGCTTTGGGTCGATTCAAGAGACGACAATGGTTAGTGTGTGTGTGTGTGTGTAATTAACTTGTACTTTATATTCCACATTATTCATTTAGGCACACAATCTTGTTAAATAGGGTGACCAACAGTCCTGTTTTCCCAGGACATGTCCTGCTTTCACGTCCTGTCCTGGCCGTCCTAGCTGTTTTTTATAAAGTGATGAAAATGTCCTGGTTTTAAAGGAAAAGATCAGCTCTACAGCAAAATATAGATGGGCAAACAAGGAGGAAAACAGAAAAGAAAAACCAGATAAAGAGGAAGAAAACTAAAGATATAAATATATTTTGTTAATTCATTTTTGTAAGTTTTTGAGAGCTATTTTTGTTCAATTTGGAGGTATTTCTTTTAGTTATTAATTATCTATATATTTATTTTTTCTAATACAGAAGAAACATTATTTCTATCATTATTTCATTAATTATTTTTGAAACCTGTCATAATAAAACATGTTGAGTAACCTCTGAGAAGCCTATCTGAATTTGTAACAAATTTATATCCATACAGAGGAGGCATAGCCTACTTTAAATGTAGTAAAATTAATAAGGCATCTTTGAGTAAACTTCGAGTATCATTTGAGTATCTGTTTGCTGGGAAAAGTGTCCTGGTTTTTGGTCAAAAAATGGTCACCCTATTATTAAATGTTGTTCATTTGATTGATTTACAAAATTCATTTACCTCTATTGATACTACATTGTACATTGTTTCATCTCTAGGATTACCGTATAAATATATTCCTGCGTCAGCGCTGGAATGACCCACGGCTGCGGTTGCCAGCTGATTTTAAGTCGGACGCATTAACCGTTGATCCAAAAATGTTCCAGTGCCTGTGGAAGCCAGATCTGTTTTTCGCCAATGAAAAAAATGCTAATTTTCACGACGTCACACAGGATAACATACTCCTGTTCATCTTCCGCAATGGAGACGTCCTCATCAGCATGAGGTAGGTCAAGCTATTGTTTTAATAATACATTGGCAATATTATAATAAAACAACAATGTTCAATATAGGTATGCTCCGATCAATCAGCCGCAGATCTGTATCGGCCAGATCAGAATTTACTAGGGCTGTCAAAATAAAAGTTTGTGTTTACATAATATATGTGGGTGCACTGTGTATAATTATTTTTATATTTATAAATACACACACATGCATGTACAGTATATTTAAAAAAAATATTATTTATATATAAAATATTTATATTTATATATAATATCATCTATATAGAGTATATACATGAAAATATTTCTTAAATATATACAAGCATGTGTGTGTATTTGAAGAGTTCAGATGCAAAAGCCTCTAAGTGCCATTTGAAATTTTCTTCTAAAATTACAATTTTTATCAAGCTTGTATATTTAAGTTCAGTAATTTCACTTAAATGACAATTAATAGGTAATCTTCATTGCCATTTAAGTGAAATTACTTAACTTAAATATACAAGCTTGATAAAAATGGTCATTCTAGAAGAAAATTTCAAATGGCACTTAGAGGCTTTTGCATCTGAACTCTTCATTTATTCATATAAAATAATTATACACAGTGCACCCACACATATTATGTAAACACAAACTTTTATTTTGGATGCGATTAATCACGATTAATCTTTTGACAGCCCTAGAATTTACCAAATGGTAATCACTAAATTTGGCCGATCTCACAAACCGATCAGAATTTGGTGACGTAAAAAACGCAAAAAGTTGTGGACACGCATGTAAACAGTATACAGATGAGGTTTTTGCTCCACGATATGCTTTATCTTCATGAAACTTTAGAGCAGGTTTATTTAGAACAGGTTTTCTCGATCCAAACAAGCCCAAACACAATAACGATGTGCAGATCTTGAGAAAATCCTCACGGAGTGACATGACATGGTGCTTGGTTAAAGCTATAGGACACCCGTGATCCTATTGCGTCACAATCATGATGCATAATTGTCCAAACTCTTTTGAAAGTTCAACCATTGATAACTTATCAGTTACGATGGGTAGGGGCGATGTGTTAAGACCAGCCGGACACTGTTTTACAGCTGGAGAATGCTTGGATTGGATCGATCGCTCTGATTGACAGGTCTTGATTACCATGTGACATAGAAGAGGAGCGCACGGCTAACAATAGCACTGGAAGATCATCAAAAACTAAACCAAACTTGATTTTATCATTTCTAACTGTCAAGCATGAAAAATAACAGAATGATTAAATAATTTGCACTACTTTTCTCAAGTTTTCTTAGTAGTGTTAGTTGCATCTCATATCATATTTACATACAATGGAAGAGCAAAAAACTTGATCAAAATCTATTTTGATAGAATGTGCATTTATCACCAGAGATTTATACCAGTCGGAACTGATTTATAATAAAAGAGGAGGGGATTAACAAAACATTGATCTTCAGCACTATTCTATTTTTCATCACAACTCTATTTTTAATCAAATAAATATGCCAATCCTTGGTGAGCATAAGAGACTTAAAAAAACATTAAAAAATCCTATCGACCCCAAACTTTTAAATTGTAGTGTAGATGAATGACATTGCTGCGTTGTTTTTGTTTTTTTTTATATTAAATTTTAAAGTAAACCGGGCTTTCCATGCAATTTTAAAACAATCACCGTCTTTTGAACTCTTTTTTTGATCACAAGATTTCATTCAAATCTATTAATCATATGGTATATATTCAAATCTAATAATGAGTATCATCCTACAAACAAAATGTGACGTAAATTATACATCGGTATACTCATTGCATTCATATCGCAATACTCTACCGTGTCAGTACATACAAAGATAGATCAAATTGACATTACGTTAACCAACCATTCAAATCTAATAATAATCTAATCTCTTTATAATGTTTCAGAAAGTTTAGACTTTTGTGTCAAAAAAAAAAAACATCAGTGAGCCAGGGCTTAATGCATTATTTACCAAATGGTTTGTAGCAGTTGGCCTACATTAGAATTAATTGTAAACTATTTTTAATTGTAAACTATTTTGCGGTAGTTGTAAATATTTTGTATGGAGGATGATATATATGAAGAAAAACTGTTTAACACTGCTTATATAATGGAACATAATGCTAAATCTGGCCCTGGGGTTTACTCATTTCACATACTGAATGAAATGCATATTGCACCTCTAGCATTGTGTTATTGTTACATTTCCTTAGCTGAAAGATCTGTTGAAATCTGATCTGTTTCTTCTCGCAATCACATTTATCATTTGAAAGTTTTCCACTATATATTTTTCTTGCTGTTTTTTCAGGTTCCATCATGCTATTTATTCTGCTCTGATCTTTAACTGCCGCATATTTAGATAGCAGAATGTTAGAAGCCATGGCTATTTGCTCAAGCTGAAAGAGTCTTTGTGGCAGATGAGAAAATAAGCTACATCTTTGCTTTATACACACACACTCACGGTGAGAGAGAGAGAGAGAGAGAGAGAGAGAGAGCAAGCCTTGGGCTGAGAATCCCACCCCACAGCTTCCTTTACACACACTCTCTCTCTCTCTCTCTCATCTGCTACTGCTGCTCCACATGTACCAAGACTAATGAACCTTGCAGTGCGTGCGTGTGTGTGTGTGTGTGTGTCTGTTCATACTCTCGCACACATACCGTCTGTTCTAAGCTCTGGAAAAAACTGGCTATGTATTTACGAATATTCCCCTTTTTTCAGGTTGTCTGTCACTTTATCTTGTCCTTTGGATCTACAACTCTTTCCTATGGACACCCAGCTCTGCAAGATCCAGTTAGAAAGTTGTAAGTTAATTAAACACATACATTGGTGCCTAATGCAATAAAATTGAACTGTTACATTTTTTTTAAGAGATGGAAAGAAAGACAAGGATGAGGTAAAACAGCCATCGTAATGTGGTGTGTGTTGTTTTTTTTGTGTGTGTATGTAGTTGGCTACACCACAAAGGACCTGGTGTTTATGTGGCAGTCGGGAGACCCTGTTCAGATGGATGAGATTGCTTTGCCACAGTTTGATGTAAAGCAAGAAGACATCAAGTATGGAAATTGCACAAAGTTTTACTCAGGAACAGGTATGGATTGACATAAATATACACTCATATTTGCATACATATTAAAGGAGGGCAGCAACAAAGAAAGGGGGAATATTGTTTAGAAAGGCAACAACTCAAGAACAGCACACACACAAGTGAGAAATCGCTGAGCTCATGCCTCTTTTACACTCCTAATTCAGACTCAAATGAATCAATACCTCTGAGATCGGTAGCTTGGGCAACCTCAGCATCAGAGCCAGAGTCTTACTATAGTATTAAATTCTCTCTCTATATATATATATACATATACATATAATATACATATACATATATGCATATATATATATATATATATATATATATATATATATATATATTATATACTTTCTGCAAAGATGCTTTGAAGCAATGTGTATTGTTAAAAGCGCTATACAAAAATACATTGAACTTGATTTGACATTTGCTAAAAAGTTGTATGTTCAACTATAGCCCATTGTACAAAATACTGTATCTGGCACTTTCCACAATCAGGTTACAAAGAGAATCTGTATCGTTTTACATTTCCAAACAGTGAATAGGGATGCTTAAAAAAATAGAATCTTTTGAAAATTAAAAATGTCAGAAATCCAAATTATTTATTCATCACAAGTGGTAATGGATATCAAACACAAAATCCAAGATGTTTCCAATGCTTGAAATGTTAGTATTGCATATTGCACACTGTTTCACATACTATATCTAGTATACTGTGCAGTATATAGCAAAAGCTATACTACTGTAGTATTTGATTCTGAACATAGCCAATCATTTGCTTTATTCACAAATCATAGATATAGCTCTCTTAGTTTCTGCTGCACTCTGTGCCTGAGGCAGACTGGCAGAGATGTTAGTGATAATGATACTGTTAATGTTGCTATAGATTGTGCACAGCATGTTTGCCATGTAATGTGTGTAGTTATATTTTTGTATGAATACCTTCCAGGGTTTCCCACTATTTTTTTTATTTAATGTCTGTACCCCCAACTCCTATCAGTAATCTATCAATATCAAACCTGAAATGTGTTCCTTTCATCTCATTATACTGGATTTGAAATAAAAGGTACTTAGTTTTTTAATTCTTTTTCACATCCCTAATATATTTTAGCTTATTTTTTTTTATTTAATTGCTTTTTAAAATATTAGCTTGAACCCCTTATAACCTGCTTAAGTACTCCTTGAGGATGTTCCATGAATATACAAATTTGGGAATTGAAGAAAAAATATTTGAAAAAAGAGTGGTGGTGGTGTCTTTATGTGTGTGTGCGCATGCAAATATTAAAGGGGTATGTTCACCTAAAAGGGGTATACCATGAGTAATGTGCCTGGTAGGGGATTCCTTTGCCGAAATTGTCACAGATGAGTACTAGGGGCAATAGGTGTCCTGGGTTAAACAAACCTGGGGAATTTCTCTAGGATGAAAAGGTGCACTTTTCCACCTTGTGGAGGGGGAGGTCGGTCACTCAAGCACTGCAATCGGCCAGTTGTCCAAGCTTTACCTGTTATTACCCAAATCTTGGGACGAAACTGGTTCTACATGGAGATTACAAAACCTTGCAAAGGTGTTGGGTGTAGCCTAGCCCGCAGCTCTACAGATGTCTGTCAATGACGCACCGTTCGCCAGGACTGAAGAGTCTGCAGTGCCTCTGATAGAGTGAGCTCTAATGGAAAAGGTATGCCTTGGGGTTGGTAAGCCATATGAATGGCATTCACTATCCAGTGGGGAAAGCTCTCTGTGCGTTCAAGGTATATGCAAGACAAAGCACACAGTGGGCAGAGCAGCAACAGGGCTGGGTCTCCCTCATCACGAGAAAGCGATTGCTGGTTCACCACTTGGTAAGGGAGTAGTGGGAACTTTGGGCAGGTAGCCTGGCCAGGGTCTCAGGACAAAATGAATTGAACTCTGGGCATGAATTGCTGATAGAGAGGGCCTGCAGATCCCAGGTATGCAAATTGCCCACTTCCCTGAGAGGGTCAAGGGCAGCCTCCATGACTTTTTTGAAGACACAAGGAGATAGGGACAACTCAAAAGGGATGAGCTTTTACTGGTATGCCTGACCCTCAAAAGCAGACCGTAGAAATGGTCTGTGCTGAGGAAGGATTCTTCAGGTCATACGCCACAAACTAATCTTGATGCCAGACACGTCCACATGTTTCTTGGCATGAGCAGCTTGAATAGGAGCCTGTGCCGATTTGGTACTTGCAGGCTTAAGATTTGTCGATGAAGTAAGGGCTGTAAACTCTTTCATCTCAGCATGGAGGGACAGGCTCTATCAGGTCCTTCTTTAAAAGGACCGCAATCTCTGCCCGCAGGAGTAGAGCAAAACACTGTACCTGGTGGACTGAGTCGATATGTTGATAAGCCAACATGACGGTTAGGACAGCGCTAACCACACATTTAGACTCCGCACAAGAGGCACCAATGGAAAAACATCCGGGATACCTTGGGTGGGAGGCTCGCGGCGAGGTGGAGCAGGTTCTGCCACATCAGAAGGCCCAGCATCCCGAAGAAACTGTGGCGTATGGTGTAGTGGCACACCTACCTCCAGGGGATGTATACATTTTTTTGGCACACCTAGCTTGCTCCGGGGGCCCACAGTACAGGGGTTGGTGAAGGCAGAGGAAGACAGGCTTTTTCGGCTTGTCACACTTAACTGTCTCTTTGCGCAGGCCCGTGGCAGCAGAACGGGGGAATGCAAAGTGTTCAGTCACCAGGGTTCTGATGCAGATACTGATGCTGTGGGGTCACTGAGTGCTGAGGCACATGTTTGGTAAAAGTCATAAACGCTCTACTGATTCCATAGCTTAAGTGTTCGAAACATCCACTGGCATTAATCCACAAGTTTCCGAGGGGCGCTTCTGTAAAAAATAAAGTGGGTGAAATTTCCGGTGAGGCGGCGGAAGTAGCATTCCAATGGTATTTTGTGTGTTAGTTAGCGAAGAGGCTAGCTGTTTTTCTGAGAATTATTTTACTATTTAAAGACGCAAATCTTTATGAGAGATGTCGTTACGGAGCTCAGTGACATCATGTGCTGTTAGTGGTTGTACGTATAACCGGACTAAACTAATTCAGTGGCTTAAACGTGATTGTTTTGAACATAAGCCGAAAACGAAATCACAGTGATCCTGCCAGAGCCCGTCTCTGATCCTGCCAACGACTGTAGTTTCCATCACCTCCCAAAAGACGACGAATCTTCCTGTGTACATTTGTTTAAATTCTTAATGTTCTATAAACTCTATCAGCATGTGTTTGGCTGTTCGCTACTGATGTTACACCTAAACTCAGGATCAAAGCCTGAGTTGACAGAATACCAAATGTGCCAGTTAATGTATTCAAGTAGCACATTCATTTATAATTTTGAATAAACTCCAAAGCACAATGACTAAGTGTGTATTTTTTATTTTAATTGTTTGTCAGCTCGCACAACTGTCTGTCACCATGCCTTGATGAGTATTGATTATTAATAATGTTATTATAATACTCCCAACCAACTACTGCAGAGGGTAAAGGTACTGTTATTTCACCCTTTTGAATTTGGTTGAGGTTGTGTTCCCACATTGTTAGCTAGTTTGGATCACTATAACTTGAATGACTGTCAACTGTTGAATGAACGAGTGTGAAGTATGTCAAGTCGCACTTTGTTTACTTCGAACCGGAAGACGCGCCCACTTTTGACGCAAGGCCTCATGGGGCGTAGGAAACTTGTGGATATCAGTACAAAAACTGTGCGGCAGAAGCTTCATCGAATAGGTTTCCATGCCAGAGGTTGGGCAAGGCCCCTTACTAGTGAAGGTAAATCTTGATGCTTCCGCATATCAAGACATTTTGGACAATTCTATGCTTTTAACTTGGACAAAGCAAGACATGGTTGGATGAGTTTTGTGTGGATGAACTTGACTGGCCTGCAGAGAGCCCTGACCTCAACCCCATCAGCACCTCTGGGATGAACTGGAACAGAGATTGCAAGCCAGGCCTTCTCATCCAACATCAGTGCCTCACCTCACAAATGCTCTACTGGATGAACGGGGCAAAAATTCTCACAGAAACACTCCAAAATTCTGCCGAAAGCCTTCCCAAAAGATTGGAAGCTGCTATACTGCAAAGGGGGACCAACTCTATATTAATGTCTGTATTTAGAATACAATGTCATTACAATCCATATTGTTGTAATGCTCAGGTGTCCCAGTACTTTTGTCCATATGCCCAATGATCACTAAAGTTGCTGTATATTATTCATCATCATTATTTATCATCATATACTTACAACAACTTATAATAATGATAATACAAATTAAATACATAAGACAAAGGCGCATAATTATTTATGGCTATACAATATGGACTGTATGTTTATGTGAAAATAATTGGTTTTAAGGCAAATCTTAGCATTGATGAGTTAATTTCTGCTCCGCTTACAAGGAAGTTAACTCTTGTCAATGGAGCGGAGCCAGACTCTCTGTACAAATGAAATGTACAAGAATCTGGTGGGACTAGGCTATAATTTAAAAGCCTGTATTTAATTTATAAAGACAGAATTTATATTATAATTTATATTTATATATTTTAAGATTGAAAATGTAAGTCTGGGACAAGGATAAAACAATAAAACCTATACATAGAAAGCATCTTGTAGCAAAGTAAATTATGAAGATATGGTGCAACGTTTTCAAAGAACTTTGTATAATTTTATACATCTCTCTTGTTTCCCCTTTCAAAATGTAAAGGTTATTATACTTGTGTAGAGGTCATCTTTACACTGAGGAGGCAGGTGGGCTTTTACCTGATGGGGGTTTATGCTCCCACCCTACTCATTGTCGTCCTATCATGGCTGTCCTTCTGGATCAACCCAGACGCCAGTGCAGCCCGAGTCCCATTAGGTGAGTCAGCCTTCATATGGACCTGAAATTGTTGTGTTGTGTTCGATGACCCAAATCAGAGATGCTATTCTTCATTACATTGCCCATTTAATGATTTTATAAGCCATGGGATTTTATGTGACCAAGGTGATCAGCTCTGTAGACCTTGGTAACAGCAATTCCTAATAATTAAATGTTTTTTTTAAGAAGTCACTTATGCTCACAAAAATACATTAAAACACTAATATTATTAAAATATTATTACATTTTAAAAAAGTTTTCTATTTTAAAATGTGATTTATTCCTGTAATGCCAAAGCTGAATTTTCAGCATCATTACTCCAGTCATCATCAGTGTCACATGATCTTTCAGAAGTCATTATTTTATGCTTATTTGCTGCTCAAGAATTATCATCAATGCTGAAAACAGTTGTGTTGCTTATTATTTCTGAAAATCATAAAATATTTTGGTAGCACTTTATTTTAAATCCCTGTTCCCTATGTATATGCTATGTAACTGTGTAATAACTAGGTACTAACCATGAACCTACCCTTAAACCTAACCTTAACCCATGTAGTTACCTTATATTAACTATACTTTCTAAGGTACACAAATAAAATAAAGTGCAACCAACATTTTTTTCCCAGGATTCTTTGATGAATAAAAAGTTCAAAAGAACAGCATTTTTTTTTTAAATAAATTTTTTTATTGTAACAATTTATTTGTAACTCTCAATCTGTTACTATCTTTTCATTATTATCAATTAAATAAGTCCTTTCAAAATAAAAGTATTAATTTATTATTTGAAAAGTAATCATTACAAAATTAGTCTAATTTTTAAAAACATTTTTATTTAACAAAAAATAAGCTTTATTAAATAAACTAGGAACCATCAAAACAAAACACATGCATTTAATTGCAATTGTTGAAACAATCTTGAATTAAACACACTACATCACACTATTTTCCACAATGATTCATAGCCAAAAAAAAATAAAAATGTTTGCACTAGGAACTTCATCCGTCAGTCATTCCCATGATTACCCGAAATCCAACCCGTTTTTCCTCTCTCATCTCTCCATATTCCTCCTCTCATAGGCTCCACCTCTCCTTCATTCCTTTCTCTCATTTGTTCATCTGTCCATTCCAGGGATGGCTGTCAAGTCCAGGTCAGTTTTAAAATTAAAGCGTTTTATTAAAGGAAACTCTAAAGATAACTGCTCAAGATCTGGGCACAGTGAAGTGATTTATGTATGCAACTACATGAGAAATTTATCTTTCTTTTTTTCCCATCTTTCTCTCTCTTTAGGTATTCTGTCTGTTCTGTCACTCTCGTCTGAGTGTACGTCTCTTGCATCTGAACTTCCTAAGGTCTCCTATGTGAAAGCCATTGATATCTGGATGATTGCCTGTTTGCTGTATGGTTTTGGCTCTCTTGTGGAATACGCTGTGGTTCAGGTGTGTATGCATGTCTGCTGTTGTCTTGCATTGAAACACTGCAGAACTACAGATTTAACAGCTGCTTCAGCACACTATATGGGTGTTTCACACTTTGGGCCCTGTGGACTAAACTTGCTTAAAATAAACATTTCACACTCTCACCACTAGTTTATTTTTATGCTAACAATACCCAACAGTGGACAAACATGCATCACAAGAGAATTTTATATATTTTTTGTCATTCATTTTTCCTGAACATGAACATTTTCATCACAGTGAAAATTCCATTTTCATTTCAGTCTCATTTAAATTATGTATTTTAATAACGTTCTTCATATATGTATGTGTGTATATATGTTGTCCTTTCAATTTTTTCTTGTCTGACTCACCTGAATGAAAGGCTCATTATTAGGGATGTCTTTGTCTCTCTCAGGTGAGAATCACCTAATTATACATGATGAGGGCTGGCCTGTTCACACCCATTCGCATATTGCCTTGGCAAAATAAAAAAATGTTTTTCACAATATAACCCAATTCACAGTTTTATGTGAACGATTAGGAGGAGGATTTCCAGATCATTGTGAAGAAAAAACCCTAGGCAATAACATCAATTCGTCAAAAGTCTTGTGGACACATATTTAGTATGTGTTTTTGTGGCCTTATTTCAGAAACTTTCATTTTTAGTTTTTACAATAACCACGCATAAACAATATTCTCTCAAAAATACAAACATGTACAAACATGTTGCCCATATATTATGGTTACCCTGTTTCTGCTAAATAGTGTAATTTCACCTGTGCCATTAATATGTTTATAAGCAGCTGAAAAAAACACACATGTCGGGGCATGTCAGAACATCTCAAGGACCCCAAATACACCTTGGTCCTCAGAGGGTTAAAATGTTTAAATCTTCCCCTTTGAATAATAATGAGCTAATGTTTGTAGTCTCTACAGATTTTAATGAAATGTGACTTCCTGCTTATTATGACGCAAAATGATGATTTTTACGACATAATAAGCAGGAAGTAAAACACTTAAATCCTTATTTCTCCCATCTCAGGGGAAAATAAGGGAATAAACCATGACCATTCAAAAATATGACTGGGTTTCTAAAGATACAAAGCTTAATGCAAATGGGTGACGTGTCCCTTTAAAGGAAGAATAGTTTCTGTCATTTTAGTGTGTCTGCATGAGGAAATCACAGCTGCTAACACACATGAGCTCTTGAAACCCCGCCCTCTGCAGCAGATCATTTGCATTTAAAGGGCCATGCACAAAACGATGTGTTTTTGCAAACCCTCAAAAAGGGATAACTTTAACATGCTATATAAAAATATCTGTAAGGTATTTTTTTGCTAAAACGTCACACACACTCTCTGGGAACATCAGAGGTTTATTTTACATCTTGTGGAAATAGCATTTTACCACCCCTTTAATACTTTTTGCATCATTTTACAAATTTACAGATTGAATAAATATTTTTTAATACATTCATCTGTAAATAATTGCTGTAGTCGAATTGACAATATATATATATATATATATATATATAGTATATATATATATATATATATATATATAATTTGGAGGAAATGTTTTTTTTCTTGTTTATAAAATAAAACAAAAAAAAAGTACTCAAAAACATACATCTAAATAGTAAATACAGAAAATCTGATAATTTTGCAGTGGCCTCTTTTTATCCAGAGCTGTTTATTTCACATGAGTTTTTACAACTTTGGGCATCTTTATATATATTCCTTTATATTTATATCTCATATATGTATTTGTTTGTGTATGCATTTATCTCTTATTCAGCAATATGAGTGAATATTATGAATAATGTTGTTCAGCACCATGGACAGCACCATTCAAAACAGTATGTTGTTTATGTGCAAGTTGTTATTTACAGATCTTTTATGTTGGATCTGTTTCTATGAGATTTCCAGTCTTTCTGCTGAGGCAGAAAAGCAGTCACTAAAAGCAGTAAACCAGAAGAGGTTGTACATTACAGTGATTTTACCACAGAAAAGGAGTGTCATGGCATGACACAAAGTCCAAATCAACACAAGGAACTCACTTTTCTGTTTTTTTGTTTGTTTTTGTTTTTCATTATTATAGTTATTATAGTATATTTTATATAGTTCTTGAAACTGTAGGCTAATATTGATGACCAGTTTGCCACTTTAAATGATTGTTTTCTGCTCATGAAGCAATATACTGATGTTTTCTCACTCTAGTCTTTTAGCTATATGTTGCGGATATATTAGCAGGATTTCTATCCCAGAGTGTTTGACATTGACTCTTAAAACTTTATCCTAGAACCCAAAATGTCTTGTATAGCTGTTCCTTAAATAGGAAAGCAAAAAATGCTGACATGGAAAGGCACTCCTTTCGAGGAGAAAATAGATCAGTAATGAAAGCCTGAAAACAGAACAGCAACCGCAAGAAAAATCCTTACTAAGAAGCAATGAACTCCTTCTGAACCTTGATATAGATATACCTTTCTTGTGGTTACATTGTCCATCAATCCTAAAAAAAGGGGGTGGGGGACAGCTCCAGAGCACAGAGCCAGAAAATACTGATATTTACTTTCTTTTTAAGAAATTTGAAAAGTGACCTGACTTGGAGTGATAACAGAAAACCTCCTGCACTGCAAATATTATCAGATTTTGTTGTGTGTGAAAAAAATATTTGTTATAAATATGAATGCAACAAGTAAAATCAACACAGCAGTAATATTTATTTTTAAAAATGGCATCAAGCCACCAGAGATACGTTTGATTCTACAGGAGCAATCAATGAAACAGAGAGAAAGGAGGAGGCTAGAAGACAGCTACCATATGGCCCTAATATTATATTAAACTGGACATTTATCTGGATGGATCTGTTACTTAGACACTTAAGCTAAACTTGTGTGAATGAATTTTATTTTTCATTTCATAATTTTTTTAAAATTTATTTACTGTAAACAAACAGGTCACAATGTTGTTAAAGTCCCCGTGTGGTGAAAATCAAGCTGTAAATGTTGTTTATATGTCTATGTGGGGTTTTTAATATGCTTTAAAATAATAGTTCACCGAAAAATGTAAATAAGCCCATGATTTACTCACCCTCAAGTCATCTTAGGTGTATATGACCTTCTTCTCTCAGACGAATACAATCGGAGTTATATTAAAAAATGTCCTGGCTCTTCCAAGCTTTATAATGGCAGTGAATGGCTCTATATGTTTTTTTAAAGTGCATCCATCCATGATTAAAGTGCTCCACACAGCTCTGGGGGGTTAATAAAGGCCTTCTGAAGTGAAGCGATGCATTCATGTAAGAGAAATATGAATTTTTAAAACTTTATCGCCTAAAATAACTAGCTTTCGGCAGACGGTCTATGCAAGTCAACTGACGCCAAAAGAGTAACACTTGATTATGTATGACGTAGGATGTACTGTAGGAGTAGTGTAAGCTTTGACGACTCTTACGGTTCAAATAAACAGGGCTTAAGGAATACACGTATGACTCAGGGGGATGCATATGGGGAATCACTGTCCAGCCGCAGGTGGACTATTTCAACCCCAGGGGTGGCAAGGTGGCTTGCTGAGGGAAAGTCACATGCACATGAGAGGCACCTAGCCGACACACAGGCAATAGACACTGGCGCTGAGGAACTCAGGGCTTTCAGGTAAGCTCACCTGAGGAAAATATTGCACGTATCCAGTCCGTAGAGTGGAATGGCGAGCAAAAGACACCTGAGCAGGTCCGGTACTAGCTGGTTGAAGCAAGTACATGAGAGGACACAGGCTCCATTCAGAGATTATTGAATCTGGCGAATGTGTTGGGTGTCCTTCCTCAGAGGAATCGGCCAAGGAGGTGCTGTCGCGAGGAGTATGAGTTCGGAGAACCAGGTCCGGGTGGGCCAGTGCGGCGCAACCAGAATAACCTGCTCCTCATCCTCCCTGACCTTGCGCAGGGTCTGCGCAAGAAGGCTCACTGGAGGAAACGCATATTTGCGGCCCTGCGGCCAGCTGTGCGCCAGTGCATCTGTGCCAAGCCTGCCCTCGGTCAGGGAATAATACAGGGCGCAATGGGTCGAGTTGTGAGAGGCAAACAGATCTATCTGTTCTTTCCCAAACTGGTCCCAAATCAGCTGAACCGACTAGTGATGGAGTCGCCATTCTCCAGGGAGGGCCATGAGAGCTCTTCGGCTGCACGGTTCAGAGCTCCGGGGATATAAAAGGCACAAAGGGACCTCAGATGCTTTTAACTCCATATGAGGAGGTGGCGGTCGAGTTGCGACAGACGGCGGGAGCGCAGACCACCTTGGACGGTTGATGTACACTACAGTTGCGGTATTGTCTGATCGGATTCGTACATGCTGGCTCTTGAGCACAGCTCAGAAACGGCCAGCAACTCGAGGCAATTGCACATGGCCCCCCTGCCTGTGGCATCTGTCATTACAACATGCCGGGAAGCTCGTTCCAGGGGCACTCCGGCCCGTAGAAACCTGAGGCTCATCCACGGGGTGAAGGTCTGACGGCAGGTCGGAGTAACTGGTACTGGGAGAGTGCCAGATTGCCATGCCCACCTCGGGACTCAGACGCGAAGCCAAAGCTGAAGCCATCTCACATGAAGCAATCCGAGCGGCGTTGCCGCGGCTGCAGATGCCATATACCCCAGGAGCCTCTGAAAAATTTTCAGGGGAACCACACTCGGAACCACCAAGTCAGCAGTGACTCTGCGCGCTCTCTCGTAAGACATGTCGACCGAGTCGATATCCATAACGACAAAAAGAGATCTTCTGCACGGAGCAAAGTTTGCTCTTTTCCCAGTTGACCCGAAGGCCCAGACGATCAAGGTGCCGGAGCACTAGGTCCCTGTGTTCACAAACCTGATCTCGAGATTGAGCTAGGATCAGCCAGTCGTCGAGATAATTCAGGATGCAAACCCCCTGTTCCCGGAGGGGAACTAGGGCTGCCTGTCCCGTAGCACTGTCGAATTTCGCAACAAGTGTAGACGAAAAGCTACAGGCTTCGGACAGGTGCTTAGGATCGCACCGAGAAGAAGCACTCTGAGGACACAGTACCATCACAGCGTTAAACCCGGGGGGACCCCAGTGTGCTCATGGGCAGCGGCCCCGTCGAGGGAAGGAAGAGCGGAGGACATCAACGAGGGATCGCTGGAAGACATGGGGGGGTCTTCGGGGATATTGAGATCTCCCGATGCACATCCCAGAAAAAGGTATTGGAGTGGACACCGACAGGAGTCATCGGCCACATCCAAAAACCAATCGTCCCGGGAAACCATGGCAGTCATCTCAGGTTCTGACTCGACAAATGCCATATGCACACCCAAAAGTGGCAGCACTTTAAAAAGACGTGCCGCGTGCAAGCTCTTTTGTGAGAGGAGAGAAAACTCGATGTTGAAGCGAGCAGGGAGAAACACATTCACTGGCAGATCACTGCACAGACCAGCAGGCAATGTGAACTCGGTGCAGATCGCCATCACACCAAAACTGGATAGAGTGGCTCGTCTCGTGGAGTGAAGTCAGAAATGGCTGTGGAGTGAAGAAATACTCTTGGCCCCGAAGCGAAAACAGGTCTGTATTCTGCCAGCGTCCTCCTTTCATACTCAAAAGGTGAGGCGGATTTAAGCCATGCAAAATCCACAGGCCCGTGGCTTTTTTTCCATTGGCTTGTTTTATATTGATCGAAGCTGATAGGCTTTCTAAGTGAAACCCTGTTCGTTGTCATCCGACGGAACTCGGAGTGACAACGAAAGGGAAAGTTTGACATTTCTCTAAAAAAAATTCTCGTTTTAGACTTCTAATTCGTGACTGGTGTTTTGTTTTGTTCTATCCTTTACGCTTCCGCGTACATCATTGCATTGTGCATCATGTTAAGTGTTACTCTTTTGCGGTAAATGCGTACAGCCGTCTGCCTGAAGACGTAAGGTTAAATATATCATTTTGGTGATCAAAGATGAGTTTTAAGTGATAAAATTATTGACTACAGGGGAACTTTAAGCTTTCCTCGGGTTCTAACAGGTGTAAATGCATAAAGGGAAATAAGTAACACTGCTTTAGTCTCTTTAGTTTAGTTAGTTTAGTTTAATCTTATTAATATGAACTCAGTTTATGAAGTTTGACTGCCAGAAAGTTTCTAAAATAGTTTTTGTGAAATGTATTGATTAAAAATGTCCTTTATTTCTCTAAAACAAATGGCACTTCATATTCGTACAAAAAATGTGGCTTAGGGGCAATTGACGCAACTTTGTGGTTAAAAAAGTGAGTCGCAGGTCACTGAAATGAAAAAATCATGAGGTCTAGAGTTCATTTTTAAACTTTGAACTTGTTTTAATATTAAGTTAAAGACATTGGTCTAACGCGTTAACATAGAAAAAACTATCGGAAAATTAGCGCAGTACAATGGAAAAACACATTCTATGTAAGTGGCCCTAAAGTGTCCAAGTGTTTTTTTTTGTTTTTTTTTTTGTGCTGTGTCCCAGGTGATGTTGAACAGTCCGAAGGGCATTGCAGAAGAAAAAATAAAGATGGCTGAGAAAGAGAAAGCTAGAATAGAAAGAGAGAGCAAGATACCAGCCAAAACTAACAGTGCCAATGGTACTGGTGGGACACCTATACACGTCAGCACACTACAGGTCAGTGTAAGAATGCACATGTATTCCTTTAAGTAAGATGAATGTGTGCATTCGTGTGTGTGTGCTCTAAAGTTTGTATTCACATACATTTATGAGTGTGTGACTGTGTTCTCTGTATGTATGATGCGTGTATGTCTTCTCTTTATGTAAGATTAATGTGTGTGTGTGTTAATGGATACATGGGGAGATGGAATGGCTGTAATTGAGTCTACTGCTCTGGGCGTGCTCAGTGGGACATAGGTGCAGAGAAGAACAGAGGATTCTGGGGGACTGAGAGTAATGTGACCCGACAGCACTGAGGCCTGAAGCTATGACAGAGCAGCACAGGGGTTCATAAGTGTGTGTGCACTTGCGTGTGTGTATGAATAAGGGGTAGAGGTCATACACAGTAACACAGACAGACAGACAGACAGACAGATACAGTAGATAGATAGATAGATAGATAGATAGATAGATAGATAGATAGATAGATAGATAGATAGATAGATAGATAGATAGATAGATAGATAGATAGATAGATAGATAGATAGATAGATAGATAGATAGATAGATAACATAATCACATAATGTAAATAAATTGTCACAGAATAAGAATATGTGAATAACTCAATTTTGACAAAAATGTCAGATAGAACCTTATAATTCCAAGGGGACGTATTGTCTGTGGATGGATGGACGGATAAATATATATATATATATATATATATATATATATATATATGGATAGATAGATATATATATAGATAGATAGATAGATAGATAGATAGATAGATAGATAGATAGATAGATAGATAGATAGATAGATAGATAGATAGATAGATAGATAGATAGATAGATAGATAGATATATATATATATGGATAGATAGATATATATATAGATAGATAGATAGACAGATAGATAGATAGATGGATGGATGGACGGATAGATAGATAGATAGATAGATAGATAGATAGATAGATAGATAGATAGATAGATAGATAGATAGATAGATAGATAGATAGATAGATAGATAGATAGATAGATAGATAGATAGATGGATGGATGGATGGATGGATGGATGGGTAGGTGTGGAAAACCGCAGTAAGAACGTGTGCACTTCTAAATCAGATCTGCGCTCAAATGATTTCAGTATTGTCGGTGGATGGATGGACAGTTAAATATATATATATATATATATATATATATATATATATATATATATGGACAGATAGATAGATAGATGGATAGATTGACGGTCAGATAGATACATGGATGGATGGATAGATAGATGAATGGATGGATGGACAGACAGATGGACAGATAGATAGATAGATGGATGGATGGACAGATAGATAGATAGATAGATAGATAGATAGATAGATAGATAGATAGATAGATAGATAGATAGATAGATAGATGGATGGATGGATGGATGGATGGATGGATGGATGGATGGATGGATGGATGGATGGATGGATGGATGGATGGATGGATGGATGGATGGATGGATGGATGGATGGGTAGGTGTGGAAAACCGCAGTAAGTACGTGTGCACTTCTAAATCAGATCTGCGCTCAAATGATTTCAGTATTGTCGGTGGATGGATGGACAGTTAAATGTATATATATATATATATATATATATATATATGGACAGATAAATAGATAGATGGATAGATTGACGGTCAGATAGATCCATGGATGGATGGATAGATAGATGAATGGATGGATGGACAGACGGATGGACAGATAGATAGATAGATGGATGGATGGACGGATAGATAGATAGATAGATAGATAGATAGATAGATAGATAGATAGATAGATAGATAGATAGATAGATAGATAGATAGATGGATGGATGGATGGATGGATGGATGGATGGATGGATGGGTAGGTGTGGAAAACCGCAGTAAGAACGTGTGCACTTCTAAATCAGATCTGCGCTCAAATGATTTCAGTATTGTCGGTGGATGGATGGACAGTTAAATATATATATATATATATATATATATATATATATATATATGGACAGATAGATAGATAGATAGATAGATAGATAGATAGATAGATAGATAGATAGATAGATAGATAGATAGATAGATAGATAGATAGATAGATAGATAGATAGATAGATAGATAGATAGATAGACAGATAGATAGACAGGTAGATAGACAGGTAGATGGATAGATTGAGAGACAGATAGATACATGGATGGATGGATAGTTAGATGAATGGATAGATGGAAGGATGGATGGATGGACAGATGGATAGATGGATGGATAGATAGATAGACAGACAGATAGATAGATGGATGGATGGATAGATAGATAGCACACAGACAGACAGACAGATATATGTACGCATGGATGGATAATGGATGGATTGGTTGACAAATAGATGGATGGATGGATAGATAGATAGATATGGATGGGTAGGTAGACAGATGGATAAATATATGGACTGATAGATTGGTGGATGGATGGCCTTGTAGACAGATGGATGGATGGATAAGTTGATAGATGGAAGGACTGATAGATGGATAGGTGGCTGGATGGATGAACAGATGGATGGATACATAGATGGATGTCTAAATGTCTTTTGTGTGTTTCACACTTTTGTAGGTTGTGGAAAACCGCAGTAAGAAGGTGTGCACTTCTAAATCAGATCTGCGCTCAAATGATTTCAGTATTGTCGGTTCTCTCCCGCGAGATTTCGAACTCTCAAACTTCGACTGTTACGGCAAGCCCATAGAGGTCACAGATGGCTCCGGAAAATCACAGAACAAGAACAACAAGAAGCCTTCACCTCCGAAACCCGTCATTCCTTCCGCTGCTAAACGGGTTGATCTCTATGCACGCGCTCTGTTCCCTTTCACTTTCCTCTTCTTCAATGTTATTTACTGGTCTGTCTACCTGTAACCATCACAAAGTGTGTGTGCGTGTGCATTTATGTTGATGAGGGCGATGATTAAGCATGAACAAAATGTCGAAATGTTCATCCTTTGATGTCGGTTAATAGTCCTGCTTATTTGTGTCTCTCCTCGTAAGTCGCTTTTTGAGATGTGTGTCTTTAATACGAGCAGCATGACTTTACAGACAGTGTGTGTTCAGCCATGTTTGGCTAAGCTGCTAGATAGAGTCCCATGCCAACACTTCAGTAAATATCGGTTGTTTAGAAACTCAGGCAAGAATGTGCTTATGGAATAAAGGACTGTATAAGATCTGGACAAAGACAGCATGCAGTTTTGCAAATGGGCTTATTGCATTTAAGTCTGTGATGAAAAGGGATTAAACTGCTGTTGAGCCATACAATAAAGGTCCTTTATCAACTGCATTCTCTTGTCTATATTATTTTGGATAATCATATGTTTGCATTATTGACATTCTGTTCAGGGATTGGTTAGAAACTTCTCATATTAATTTAGCAACTTAAAACAACATTAATTCAAACTTTTTTGAAGATCATTTCAGTCAAAATCTAATACTGTACTGTATATGTGCTTTAATAAAATGCTCTACATAAATCGTAACCAACTGCAATCATCTTGTAATATTTCCATACTGAATTACAACTGGTTGTCCTCTTTCATACATCTATTTGCATTCTAAATTAATCACTCCTGTCTTGCATTTAGCCATTTTTAGCTGCCTTTACACTGCGCTGAATCTTGTGTGCAGCCGCCTGAAAACAAGACACATGATCACTGTCATGACAACGGCTCTGCAGCATTTTATTTTATGCAGAAAGACTAGATTATATAAAATTGTACATTATTACTGCCTAGCAAGCGCTGGTATTTCCTTTAGGAGATGTATAGATGAATACTAAATGAATACATACTCTTTGTGTTTGAAGGACTGGGCTTCATCTGTGGACAGATTACATTCAGCATTATTTATTATTTTCATTGTTCCTTTGTCTGGCTTTGTTAATCTAATCGTGTAAAAAGTTTGTGTTTCTGTTTAAGTTTAGTTCATGTCAAAGTCTTCGTTTATTGTACGTTTTGTCTACGTTTATGTTAATAAACTGCACATGGGTTCTACAAATTTTCCTTCTGTGGACTTCATTACAATAATATTAATTTCACCATTATTTTTCAAGATTATGTGTTGCTATTAGTTAAACTAGTAAATCTCTATGCACAATTTTATTTTTTGTATTTGTGTGTGTGTGTGTGTGTGTGTGTACTAATTAATGCATATGCATTGTGCAACACTTTGGGTTGTGATAAATACATATTTTGAGTTCTTGGCTTTCATATTGACCCCCATTCTTCACTTTCTTTTCCTTCGATCAATCTGCACTCCAATAATACCGGTCATATGGAAAACATCAGTTGTTATTCCTGTCCCCCACAAAAACTCATCCATCAGAGTTAAATCACTACTGGCCTGTATCATTAATCTCTATCATAATGAAATGCTTTGAGAAATGAGGATGAAGTGGCTTGTTTCTTGCACTGTCTACTTCAACACCTAGATATTCCTGGAAATTATGCCAGACTTCTTTTCATTGACTTTACTGTAGCTCTACCTTTAATTCAATTCTGTGTCACCAGGTAATCAAAGAACTACAGTGTCTGAAAGTTTCATCACCTCTGATACTTTGGGTTAAAACTTTCCTTTCTAATAGACCACTATTGGTAAAAGTGGACAATGCATTATCCTCCACCATTGTTCTCAACATTGGTGCCCCTCAGGGTTGTGTACATAGCCCCTTTCTATATTTTCTCTTTACAAATGATTGTCAGAGTCACTTTCCACTACTCATTACTTTACATATGCAATTGATACAGCTGTTATTGCACTGCTTAATAAGGTCTTCTAAGTTCCCCTCCGTTTTCAATAATAACATTGTGTGCACACACCCGCATTAACACGCCATTGAGCGCCATCATATCTATGCCAAACCAATGGGCGGCAGTGTAGAGAGAAGAATAAAGCCATGCAAGCAAATCAGAATCCTCAGAATCGACAAGAGAGAGCCTAAAACGCCGTTTCTCCCAGTTGACACGACAACATAACCGGCGTTTTCAGAAATCTCCACTTTGGCCAGAGTTTTTAGAAATAATCGTTTTCTGTGATAAAAACAGGGTTTTCGTGTAAATGAGAGGCCAAACCGCAGGGAAATATCTGCGTTTTCCAGTGTTATCATTAATACACTCACCTAAAGGATTATTAGGGACACCTGTTCAATTTCTCATTAATGTGATTATCTAATCAACCAATCGCAGTTGCTTCAATGCATTTAGGGGTGTGGGTAATCTCTTGAACTCCAAACTGAATGTCAGAATGGGAAAGAAAGGTGATTTAAGCATCAATTTTGAGCGTGGCATGTCTGAGTATTTAACAATCTGCTTAGTTACTGGGTTTTTCACGCACAACCATTTCTGCGGTTTACAAAGAATGGTGTGAAAAGGGAAAAACATCCAGTATGCGGCAGTCCTGTGGGCGAAAATGCCTTGTTGATGCTAGAGGTCAGAGGAGAATGGGCCGACTGATTCAAGCTGATAGAAGAGCAACTTTGACTGGAATAACCAAAGCAAAGCATTTGTGAAGCCACAACATGCACAACCTTGAGGCAGATGGGCTACAACAGCAGAAGACCCCATCGGGTACCACTCATCTCCACTACAAATAGGAAAAAGAGGCTACACTTTGCAAGAGCCCACCAAAATTGGACAGTTGAAGACTGGAAAAATGTTGCCTGGTCTGATGAGTCTCGATTTCTGTTGAGACATTCAGATGGTAGAGTCAGAATTTGGAGTAAACAGAATGAGAACATGGATCCATCAGGCCTTGATTGTGTGGCCCACACAATCAACAGATCTCAACCCAATAGAGCATCTTTGGGATGTGGTGGAACGGGAGCTTCGTGCCCTGGATGTGCGTCCCACAAATCTCCATCAACTGCAAGATGCTATCCTATCAATATGGGCCAACATTTCTAAAGAATGCTTTCGGCACCTTGTTGAATCAATGCCACGTAGAATTAAGGCAGTTCTGAAGGCGAAAGGGGATCAAGCACAGTATTAGAATGGTGTTCCTAATAATCCTTTAGGTGAGTGTAGAGAAATGGTTGAAAGGGAGAATTCCAGATATCTTGACATTACATTGGATAAACATCTCCACTTCAATCAACACACTCTAAGTTCTTAAGTATGGTGCCATTTGTTTCTTTCAAACCAGCAACCAATAAGAACACACTCTTAAAGATTTCATTTACGCTTCAGAAGGCACATCAAATTTCTGATGATCCAGACCATCCACTTTATCAGTATTTTATCTTCCTTCCTTCTGCCCGCAGGTCTAGATTCCCTATGTGCAGAAAGGCCATCTATAGTAAGAATTGTGTTCCTATAGCCATATGAGCTTTAAATACATAAGAAATCAGCCACTGACGCGTCATATCATCTTATGCTCTCACATTTATTGTATGATCTTGTTTTTGTTTAGTTTTTTTGTCTGTGATTGTTTTGATTGTTAGTGTATGGTGTTGCTGTGTTTGTGTTTTCTACTCATCCATTCCTCTCTGAGGACAAATAAATTATCTATCTATATAATGTGCTTTTTTCAAAAGTTTACATCCAGATCTAAATAATAAATAAACATAAATAATTGCATTTATATAGTGCTTTCCTAGGCACTCAAATCGCTTTACATAGAAAGGGGGGAACCTCCTCATCCACCTGGATGATGCGACGGCAGCCATATTGCACCAGAATATAGAACAGAGGCCACTGGGCAAATTTGGCCAGGATGCCAGGGTTAAACCCCTACTCTTTCGAAGAACGTCATGGGATTTTTTATGACCCCAGTCAGGACCCCGGTTTAACGTCTCCTCCGAAGGACAGTGCTTTTTGACAGTAGTGTCCCAGCTACGCCACTATACTGGGTCGTTAGGACCCACACAGGCCACAGGGTGAGCAGCGCCCCCTGCTGGCCTCATCCAGCAGCAACCTAGTTTTTCCAGGAGGTTTCCCAATTCCCATCCAGGTACTAACCAGGCTTAGCCCTGCTTAGCTTCAGTGGGAAACATTGGGCTACAGGGTGACCTACTCAGATGTAGATGTGTTTTTCCTAAATTAAGAGATTTGTAATAATGAAGCCCAGTATCCATGCAAACATGTGAAAAGTAAGGAAAACTGAGTATCACTAATTATATAATTGGCTGAATCTGTGTGATTGATGCAAAAATGATTTGATTCATCTAAGGAAATCACTGCCTCAGCAAATTTGCTGCTTTATCTGGCTGCATATTCTTAGAATAGTCTTTAGTCTCTCAAATGTTTTGCACTTAATGCATTGGAATGGTGTGAGAAAGATAGTCAAACCCATACATGCATCATGCACATTTAAAATGATCTAACCTCTGCAGAATTTGAATATTATTGTGTTCATATCTTGTATAATAAAAGCTTAACCTAGCTTGTAGGCTAATGCTTGTAGGCTATGTATAGCCTAAGTCTTGCACATTGCAGCTTATATGCCTACAAAATAATACGTTTCTTGAAGTGTGCTATAGTATACTTCCAGTCTACTCTTTATTACTTCTCAAATACTGTATTCTTTGACGTACATTTGACGTACACTACTCAATCTTTTGATTGTGATATTTTTACAATAATTAAATATTCTAAGTATACTTGGCTTGTAATTGTGTTTATTCTTTTGATTGAGTAGCCAAATACTGTAAATACTTTTTCTCCACATTTTTTTACATCCTTACAGTCCCAAGAAGTACTGAAATAGTACACTTTCAAGTATACTACACTGATCTTAGTATAGTATACTTGAACTTTACGTAAGTATACTTAATAAAATGAACTTGATGTAAAGTACACTTTTGTATATGAGATAAAAATAATTGTCTTAAAATAATTAAATGTTTGGAATATGTAGCAGGGGTGTCCAAATCCTGCTCTGGAGGGTACCCGTCCTGAAGAGTTTAACCCCAAACTGCTTCAACACACCTGCCTGAAAGTGTCTAGTGGGCTGCATTCGAAATCACATACCCCCAAAGCAGAGAGAAAATCAGTAAGTGAAAAAAAGAAGTATGTATGATTCACAGTATTCATAAAAGAGGTAAAAAAAAGAACCCATATGCCCTACTTCTTCCAGAAAGATTCTGAAGTGTGCACAATGATGGACATAAGATAGGTAATTAGGCAATTAGGACCTAAGGAGCTGGATTGGACACCGCTGATTAAGGTGCATTATGAGATTGAATGGATTCACTTGATCATGTCCGATATGATTTCAGACACTACAACAAATGGATGTCCCCACATATAGAGGTCAATATAAAGGTATAGGAGTGATTTCGGACACAGTCTTAGAAACTTCCAGGCAAATGAGTTGGGACAGGTTGGGGCTAAACTCTGGAGGACATTGGGCAAGATTGGACACCCCTGTACTAGAAGAATTGGATCAGGCTTCCACAGCACTTTTATGCACTCTGCTGGTTGTGCTGGGAACTAACTTTCCTGTAAGCAGAGTTTGAATTGCCATATGGCAGTATTGGACAATTGCTGTTAAAACAGCACAATTCATGAAGGCACCTAAAGACTTCTTCAATATCTACACCTAATGTTGTTTTGTTGAAGTCAATTTACAGTATAATTATCTGTGTTCTGTTACTGTTTGGCTTAAACTCTCTATGCGCATCCTTGTGATATGTTAACTTTCCTTGCCAGCATTTTTTTTTAAATTGCCAGCCACGCCAGCATTTTTTTTTTTATAATTTTCACATAATTTTCATGGCCCCTAGAATATTTTTGTATGAATATCTGAACATGCAATATATTAAAAGTGTTTGACACTTGAATGTGGTTGTTACATGAAAAAAAGAGTTTTTTATTTTTAACAAATTGAGAATATTGCATTTTTGTCAAAAGTCCATTCAACACCCCTAAAGCTTGCACAGATCTCGCCCTGGGTCGACATTTCATTCAGTAACATTAAGCATTTTTTATTTATATTCTGTTTAATGCTGATGCTAATTTTTGGTGAACTAACTCTTTAAATATTATTTTGTTAAATAGAGCTGTATTTCTTAAAGACATTTTCATTTTCATCTTGATGTGTTCATCATTATTTTAAAAATCATTTTCTTTTTGTTAGAATGTTATACAAAAGACTCACAAGAACAATGGAGATTTGCTCAGAATCTGTATACTGACCCATTTCTGTCCATGAGGCAGCAATTTAACCATAGGCCTACAGCAATTTTATAAAAAAAAAAGTACAATACATAACACCAAAGTAAATTCAGCTAAATGTTTTCGCTGATGTTTAAGTATGTGAATCATTAGGTTAATGATTATTTTAATGGATTTTTAATGTAAGCAGCACCATAATGACCTGTAAATTACACTAGGCTAATGGTATGTTAAACTGTACTGCAAACAATTTTCTACAGAAATCCCGATTCCATCTCTCTCCACAAAGAGGTCATTGGTCTGGAAAAGTTTGAAGAGCTCATAGTAATATGTGTAATTGGAGTATGTCAGTTATTGATTAGTCTGGGTGGAGGTGGTTAAGCAATTCATTGTATTACAGAAGATGGTGGAACCCAAGCCTATTGGATTTCAGGGGAACATAATTTTGCCTCATTCTGCCTCATAGTGGACACATATTAGGCCTTTCTAATTCAATAAATTAATAACAATAAGAAATCACTCGACATATAATTAAACAAATTAAAAATTCCCATTTCCTGAAGCAGATATCAAAAAGCGAGCACGCACATCTCTCTGCTGCGCGCGCGTTCAAAATAAGAGCTGCTTCGGCTCCGCTCGGCTCTTTTCGTCTTCATCAGTATTCTCACCGTGTCCACTGAGTTGAAACGAGTCTCAGGGACGGAGCCGCAAAGGAGGAGAGCAAGACTCCCGCATCATCGCGCCCGCTCTTTCCCTCACCAGCGCCGCAGACTAACGAGAGCCTCTGCGCTTTAACTGTGGTTTATTTTAACATGTGTCGACTCTATATTGTTCCCGCTGTTTTGTGAACAGTGCGCGTTTGGTGGATGTGGTCGCGTGGATAAGCAGAAGACGATGATTTTGTCGGGTCTCCTTTTCCCCGCGTTATGGGGACTGGCGCTCGGCGGATCTCCGAGCGTCCAAATCGGTGAGCGCACTCCACCTGTCTACGCCTTTTAGATCATCCTCATCAAATCATAAACATAAGTCTGATAACAGAAATCACATATAAACGTCCTCTTTACTTGGTTCCCATGTGATATTTTCATGATAAAACGATGATAGTCTCTGTTTTTGGAATTTGAGACAGTGTCGTATTTCTTCTTATGATATATTTCTGAATATTTTTTAATGTATTATTTTTTCAGGCGGCTTGTTCCCTAGAGGAGCAGATCAAGAGTACAGCGCATTTCGGATCGGAATGGTTCAGTTCGGCACGGCCGAATTCCGCCTCACTCCTCACATTGATAACCTGGAGGTGGCTAACAGCTTCGCCATCACAAATTGCTGTAAGTCAACATAGAGTTTTTACCGCTTGAACTAATTAACTCCCCATATAGCATAGCCTAATCTAGATGCTGTTATAAATTAGCCTGCCCATGCACAGGTGCGATCATAGGCAGTTTCCCTCCCTCCCTATATTATTAATTCATCCTGCATTCATGCCATATTAAATATTACAGGAGCCTGTATGGCAGTATCTATGTGTTATTCCTATTTGAGTTAACACGGGATAGCTATATCGCCTGCATACATGTGTTCTATTATTAACGCTGGTGTTTATTTATTCCTTTACGCAACCCATGAAAGGACCGGGGGCTGGATGTTGGCAATCACTCGGTTTATCATTCAAACACTTTAGCTTCTAATGAGTCTGAACTGTGGCACATTTTGTTTCTTGCTGTCTGGTTGTGTAAACTATGCGTTGGGAAGATGGTCGTTATATAAACCAGTTTTTTTTTTTTTTTTTGGCTGGGGGGGGGTGGGTGATAATAATTACCATTCGCGGGAGCAGCATGATGATGGTTTCCACAGTAACAGAGGAGAGGAGATGGCCTCGTTTTACCAGCATCTGCACAATTCGATGGCAAATGAAACCGCAGGTTGCCTCCTTCAGAAACGTATTTGTGTCATTTGTTGTCGAATGTTTTACGGTACAATTTCTAGCTTTTAATTTTGCAATAGCCTATGTATAATGAAAGGGTTTTGACAGACGTCTGCAAGGCACGAGGACTTCGCGCGTGTCCCTCCCCCACGCATCTTCTTAGGCTACATCTGAGAGCATGAAGACCATTAGGCTACTGAATGATGATGCTAACATTAACCCAATTCTAAAATGTGATTAATTATTAGTGCATTTGAGTTTGTGTCAAATAGGTTCTTTAAAATTGTTGGTCTTGCACCACATCCAGACTGGTTAGACTCAGATCTCTTCAATAGAGTGGTTCAGTTCAATGGATTCACAAATCCAGCCTGAATGATTTAGTGTGTGTTCACACTTGTAGTTTGGTTTCCTTGGTTTGTTTGGTCCGGACCAAAAAACCCAACAAAAATTTAGTCCTGGTCTGCTTAGCGTTCACATTGGCAATTTAACATCGAACCTAAAGATACAGAACCTTAAGTCATAAGGACATGTTCACAATCTGTTTGGTCGCTTTTATTATGTATATTTAGCGAACTTACTGAACATCTAAAATAATGTTGTGTAAGTGGCTAAATCTACTCATTGTGTGTGAGTACCTGCATATAATGGTATTTCTGTCAGGAGCACTATCGTCATACGATTGACAATTAGCTTACAGATATGATTGGCGGTATGGTTCTGTTATTAACCCCCAAACAGAACAGAACCAACATTAATGTATTGCAGATATCATTAATTAATTTAAATGCACAACAAAATTATAGAATTTTAGTCTGATTCAGGGGTAATCTGAATGCCAAATCCTGACTGGGTGAGAGAAGGAGCTGGGGATGGAGGAGGGTAATGAGCTCCTGAGAAACACGACAACTGTTGATAATACTGTGGAGTGTATACACTCACCTAAAGGATTATTGGGAACACCATACTAATACTGTGTTTGACCCCCTTTGGCCTAAGTTCAGAACTGCCTTAATTCTATATGTCATTCATTCAACAAGGTGCTGAAAGCATTCTTTAGAAATGTTGGCCCATATTGATAGGATAGCATCTTGCAGTTGATGGAGATTTGTGGGATTCACATCCAGGGCACAAAGCTCCCGTTCCACCACATCCCAAAGGAAGTAGCCATCAGAGGATGGGTACATGGTAGCCATAAAGGGATGGACATGGTCAGAAACAATGCTCAGGTAGGCAGTGGCATTTAAACGATGCCCAGTTGGCACTAAGGGGCTTAAAATGTGCCAAGAAAACGTCCCTCACACCATTACACCACCACCACCAGCCTGCACAGTGGTAACAAGGCCTGATGGATCCATGTTCTCATTCTGTTTACGCCAAATTCTGACTCTACCATCTGAATGTCTCAACAGAAATCGAGACACATCAGACCAGGTAACATTTTTCTAGTCTTCAACTGTCCAATTTTGGTGAGCTCTTTCAAACTGTAGCCTCTTTTTCCTATTTGTAGTGGAGATGAGTGGTACCCGGTGGGGTCTTCTGCTGTTGTAGCCCGTCCGCCTCAAGGTTGTGCTTGTCGTGGCTTCACAAATGCTTTGCTGCATACCTCAGTTGTAACGAGTGGTTATTTCAGTCAAAGTTGCTCTTCTATCAGCTTGAATCAGTCTGCCCATTCTTCTCTGACCTCTAGCATCAACAAGGCATTTTTGCCCACAGGACTGCCGCATAATGAATGTTTTTCCCTTTTCACACCATTCTTTGTAAACCCTAGAAATGGTTGTGCGTGAAAATCCCAGTAACTGAGCAGATTGTGAAATACTCAGACCAACCCGTCTGGCACCAACAACCATGCCACGTTCAAAATTGCTTAAATCACCTTTCTTTCCCATTCTGTCATTCAGTATGGAGTTCAGGAGATTGTCTTGACCAGGACCACACCCCTAAATGCATCGAAGCAACTGCCATGTGATCGGTTGATTAGATAATTGCATTAATGAGAAATTGAACAGGTGTTCCTAATAGTCCTTTAGATGAGTGTATGTAGACAATGATAGGCGTCATATAGGTAGATGATACGATCTGTTGCGATAAGATGTGGTTTTGCCTGTACCTAAATGTGATAGGCAACATTGCAACTATGATGAGAAAAAAACGATATTCTTCAGCATTCTGTCCTTTTTAGGGCTACATCTTGTGACATCATGTCCTGTTTTTGGTTTGTTTACATGCCTTTGGTCCATGTTGCACTCAAATTTCATTCGAACCGGACCAGAGTCCATTTCGAAGCGAGACCCATCTTTTCAGTGGTCCTGGTCCACTTTTTTGGTGCTCACCAGAGTTCGGATGGCAGCGAGACCCATCTTTTCAGCTGCCCTGGTCCGCTTTTTTGGTCGCCTTCACACTTATTCAAATGAACCACACTAACAGAGCAATCGCACCAGGGTTCATTTTAATAGAACCAAACATGCCAAGTGTGAACACAGCCTTATTCATAAATTGAACTGAATCGGTTAGGAGTGCGTTTCCCATACAACAACGTAACTCGCTGCCTCAGTGCCCGATGCATCGTTGAAGAAATCAATTAGCTAGTCACGACTGTTTTCCGAAACCATATTGTCGCAAATAGGTCGTTCAACTACGTTGGTTAACGATGTCACACAGATGGTGGAGTAGTACCTACTTTAAATGAATCTGTTTGAGATCGAATCAATGCTAGATGCTTTGCTATAAATTACGGACAGATCATCTGATGACTATTTTTAATTTTTCTCAGTTATTTGCTTTATTTCCAGATTCAATCATAGGCTTGTTCTCACTTGAGTTCGCACATGCGCACTCTTTAAAAGCGGTGCTTTAAATCTATTGACAAACTAAAAGATGAAAAGCTTGCTTATTTGGCCCAAGATAAGGATTTATTAAATCCACGTTATAAAAACAAGAAACTATTCTTCCAACCACACCTAGAGAGCTGTCGTTCCAACCACACAACTTTGCGACGCTGTTTGCGAACGTTCAATGGAATGATGGTTTTTGGGAAACACAGACTCGTTGAACTACGTTAATATCGATGGAACTTGCGAACAGAGTTAACGATGCTTTTGGGAAACAAACCCCAGAGCGGTTCCAAGTCAATAGGTGTGTTCAACTTAATGCAACACTCGGCGCAGACCTATCGGTTAGCTTTAAGTCTAACACACCTAACAAAACTGATTCACTGAACTAAGAACTGTTTCTAAATGTCAGAGACCACACTATGCAATTGTGTCATGTCCCCAACTACTTTCTAATTAAAAAAAAAAGTCACGTCAGAATGTCAAAAACTTTGCTATGACGTATTTACGTTAACACACAAATTAATAATTTAATAATTTTTTAGCCACGTTTTTAAATACAAGCCGATTTGTAGAGATTAGGCAGACCTCTGGAATCTAACAAACAGGCTTTTGATAAATGATTAATATTGTATAGATACATTACGTTTCGTTTAGTGTTATTGTAAGACATTACGAAATAGAAATTTACCAGCATCTGCGCAATTCGATGGCAAATAAAACAGCAGGTTGCCTCCTTCGAAACGTTTTTGTGTCATTTGTTGTTGAATGTTTTACGGTACAATTTCTAGATTTTTAATTTTGCAATAGCCTATGTATAATGAAAGGGTTTTTGACAAATGCTTGCAAGGCATGAGGACATTGTGCGTGTCCCTCCCCCACGCATCGTCTTAGGCTACATCTTTTGTGTATTTTTCACCAAAATCCAATAACCTGAATGAGTTTTCTATTGGTGGACATGGCTCCTTTTGATGTCAAACACTGATTCTTTACAATGTGAGCTTCACTGCGACAAGTCTGTCTCAGCGACCTGAACAGCCGCTGATTCATGTGAGCGGCTTGACCACTCCCACATACCCGTCCCACACATACACATCACACACACAAAAATGATACTTCAGGCCTGGTTACGCATATATAACATTATGGAAATTGTTTAGGCATTTTATCATAAGGAGGAGTGTGTGCGATAAAGGGCTGTGTTTACTGATTTGGGACTGCAAATATTAGAAAATCTGTATTCTGAGCATCTGGAAGATAAATAGGCCTAGTATTTAGTCATGGTATATTCAAACATGCCACACACAAGGGATTTCCTTTGCTGTTAGTTGTCATCCAAGCACAATCACCCACATGCAGATATATATAGATGGCACAGAGCAGGGTTTTCTCTGAAATATATAAGCATTATGATAAGAAAAACACTCCCAGAAGAGCCAATTGTTTATACAGTTTATGGTTTGCCATAGCGAAAAACACATTTATGGTGTAACATGCACTCTGTTATCGCTTGTTTGTAGCCTTGAGGTGGTTGAAGTGACTCATCGGAGACCCAAATTCTATTGACAGATATGTG